AAGGGGCAGTGTTACGACACCGGTAGTCACGTGACTCTGGTAACACGTCATGAGTTTCTAGAAGGAACATTACTTTTCCTGGCAACTCTAGCCTTTTCCAGACGCCTTCTATTTTAGCATATAAGCCCGGCAAATAAAACGGAGAGGGGAGACAGATAATCGAGTCAAGTCGTAAGTAAAGTGCGTGAATCGTTGTAAATTATAGCGTGTGTTGAAGGTAAAGTGACTGTGGAAATTAAGTGTATTGCAAAGTTGTATTGAGAAAGAATAAACTAGTTTTATCTAAGAAAGGACTTGTATCGCTGAAGTTCTTCGGAAAGAATTTTTACGGAAAATTAACAAACGACCAGAGACGTAACAAAAAGTTGTTTGGACTTCAAAACATACATATATATATGTAAGGAATAAAGTATTTGTTCAGTATCAAAGTATATGGGAGCTATTATTAGTTCCTGGAGTCCCATAATAGAGAAGATATAGTGATAAAATAAATAAACGAAAAATAAATTTGCCAATCTTACATTATGTAATAGGAAGCAGTGAGACACTTGTTCGAATTTTTTAACCCTTCTTGTTGAGAAATCGGTAACTTTACTACTAGTGCAAGTTTTATTTGATCTCATTTTAGATTTCACGTTTAATTATTTGCAACCTCACTGACAAATGCTTTCTCATACTGCCCAACATTGTTTATAACATTTTTCACTCTTTAGACTATTTGGTCAAATATATTTGCCGTTGCTTCTTCTGCTTAGCTGAAAGTGGAGTCACATAGGTCTTTATCCCAGAAACACATGGAAGTTTGTATTCATGTTATTAGTTTATCTCTACAGTGAGATTCATTGAGTATCTGCCCAGCTTAATAGTTTGTATGACTTGTCAGCCATACCGTGATAAAACATTTTTTAACGTTCTCTTTATAAGAACCATTTTATTTCGCTCCATACTGAGTGCTTTGTTTTTGCCCCCAGTGGCACAGCGGTATGTTTGCCGACTTACAACGCTAGAATCCGGGTTTTGATACCCGTGGTGGGCAGAGCACAGATAGTCCACTGTGTAGCTTTGTGCTTAATTACAAACAAACAAACAAGCTTTGTTTTTAAATCCCCAGCGGCTTTAGTCCATGCATGTGCATTGTTGCGTCAGCGAGTCACGTGACTACTGTGACGCAACGTTTCTAGAACT